CACTTGCATGCAGTTACCTGGCTGGATATTGTAAAGTAAACGCAACAATGAGATCACACGTTTAACAGTGACGTACTCCTCCCTGAATTTCTACTCATTTGGTCGATCACGCACTTTGTATGTTCTAGGGACAAAAGAAAAGTATTGCACGCAGTCATGTGTGAATAGCATAGTGCTGATAGAGTAGATCTTTATTCACAGATAGAGTAGTACGTCCAGTCTAAAACACTTATTTAGTTCTTAATATTTATTGGACTTACTAAATGTAGTACTTCCATACATTGAGCCTATCGCCAAACTATTTATGGAGTGCTATTACCTCATTAACCGGCAGTAAGGGCGGGCATAATAACGTTATCGAACTGAATAAATTACGACAGTGCCCCACAAAATGACCGAGTAAAATCCCTACCCTTGTTCGTGCAACATTCCATCATCGTAAATGTTGATGATACACTTTCCCTATCAGGTAAATCTGCAGGTGTGGGTAAATATAAACAGTCACATGCATGTTAACAATCTTCCATACAGTAATTATTTATATATTAGTATCTGGAAACGATTGATAGTATTATTGAAAATAAACAATTCTGATATATATGCCGCATCTGCATAATTACGAAGCATCGTATCATATTGTATCGTATCATATGATTTGATTGTGCTGGTCGTAACATATAAATAAGAAGTGTGTGGGGGAGTAAGCCGCTCCATGAGCAGATTTCTGCTCACTCAATTTCTGCTGTAGCTCCTTCCCATCCAAGAGCAAAGATACATTTACGAGGCTTTAGCTTGGAGTCCACTTGTTTGTTCTAGAAAATTCGTATCTCGGAATCTGATTGGAAGTTCAACGCGAGTTCGACCAACTCAATCTTCTCCCTTATTCTTTCTTTCCTTCTGACCCATTTTCATATACACCTTACTTTTCGCTTTACTATATCCTTGCTTCGTTATACACAAGAACGAACTAGTAACCGAAGATCTTATCTATTCCATTATCTCGCCAATGAACATATCATAAAAGTTATGGAGGGATCTTCGAGGCTCCAGCGACGGCCATAACAGTTGGGCTATTCACAAAATAGCGTCCGGTTGAGATTGGAAATAATGGAACAAAGTTAAATAAGGCGACACAGTTCGATACTTGCTGTCCAAAAAATATCAAAAACGAAACCATCAGCGAACAAAATTTACTCGCCAGAAATCGAAACATTGTGGAACGCTTGAAAACATTTATACGACAAGAGGACCGGGAAAGTGGCATGGAAAATCAGAAACTGCAACTGATCCAATATGGACTCTGACGTTATTTACAAACCGAAAAATAACTGTCTCTGAACACGAACCCTTTGATGCATATGCACGTTCACGTTATGCAAATAGCTAATAGGTCCCAATAAGGGACTGGGGCTTCTTTATGCAAATGAACAGAATATGCAAATATAAATAGACGGATGCGACTGTAATATCTGGATTTAGATTGTTAACCGTAATACTCAAGAAATGTCAAGACGACGTCAAAGATTTATACCTCCTGGGCCATTGCCAGACCCTCCTCGGTTAAGAAGGAGGATTTCATTTCTGGCTTACGACATATTCGAAAACCCAAATATTCCCCCATGGCATCCCCATTTTGGAACCTGTTTAGGCGTTGCTTTCAAACTATTATTTTAAAAGCCTGGTGTAGACGAATGTTACGGAGCGAACTCCAACAGATGGGTTGGGTATTGGATGTCCAATATTCAATGGTCTCAAGAGACGTCAATCACGATGCCGCCTTACATCAGGCACGACAGCTACAAACGCGTCCAAATTTATATTGGATGCCATATGGTGTAAGGCGGATGCATGTAATGAGGGGAATATATAGGCGTAGTCTCTATTAATTGTTGGCCATTTGCAGGTAAATTTGCCTGCAATTTTTAACCTCTCTTTTTTTGACTATGTCACTATGCTACTCATATCTAATAGTGTGCATTAATTATAAATATTATTAAGTTTTAGTATGTATATGTTTTTATGTTTGAGATAACATTGTTATTATCATGATTGATGATTGTAATGTCATAATTAGAAAATAAAAACTCATAATCAACAAATGAAAATCTATTATATTGTAAGATTGACTGAGTGAACTGTAATGCTGCCTTGTCTTGAATGATTATTTTGTTGTAGATGAGAAATAGGAGTTGCAATCAGGGAATGTAAATGAGTTAGGAAATGGGCAATTAAGCAGTATAAATAAAAAAACTTTTTTTTTGCAGATTTAAAAACAACAATAATATGTATTTCTTAATTTGCCTGTCAAAACATCCTTTGCAGACTGGAAAGGTAATGATTATTTAATAACTGATTGTTCTTGCCATTCACTCACTCATTGCAATTTACAGAACTTATGAATTTTGAGTATGGTGTACAGTTCTATGAAGAAATTCTTAAAAATGATCTCTTTTTTTGTTACACAATTGCGCGCTGGTGACAAAGTGGATTCGTGAATTAAATGACGGACAAACGATAAAAAAATTAAGTCTCAAAGAGGCAATTGAACTAATTGCAGATGCTTGAGATAACGTCAAACAAAGTACGATAACTAATTGTTGGCAAAACACGGGAATTTTACCTGCAGAAACAGCGCTTATTAATGCAAATAAAATGGAGATTGATGAAAAATCGACGGAGCTATGGATAACTTAATTTTAGCCCTCGATAATTTGAAGCTTTCAGATCCCTTGGTAAATATAACAGCGGACGAGTACGTCAAGAAAGATAACGGTTTGGTTAATACACAGATGCTTACCGAAGAAATTTTTGAAGAATTTCTTATAACTGAGGGTGTCCTACCGCAAATGCAAGTACATGTTGAAGAAAACTCAAGCGATGAAGAGGAGGCTATTATTTCTGTACAAAAGGGAAGAGAAGCTCTCGAATTAGTTAAAAAATTTTTAGAACAAAGAGAATTTACAACAGAAAGTGATATAAGATATATACGTAATATAATTCGACGTTTAGACGAATTCAGTAGAAAGACGAAACGCCAAACTTTATTAACAGAATTTATTACCCAATAAAATTGCATGCTTTAAATAACGTTGCACAAACATATAAACCTCAGTTGTATCCCACCTCGAA